CCCCCACGAGAGCCCATTCTTTTGCCAGACCGGGGAGGCAAACCCACTGCTCCACCTCTAAGCACTAGGCAGCACCCTCCGGAGCCTGAACCCAGGTGTCCTGAACGCCCCACCAACTTCCCTTTCCAGGAAAAACCAGCCCAGGCGGCGGCACCCGGCTCTCCCGCCCTTCCCACTCCCCCAGCGCCCCTTTGCCCCGGCTCGGCACCCAGCCCGGCCCCGGCTCACCTGCTGGGCAGCGGCGAGGAGGCAGAGCAGCACGCCCCGGAGCCGGGCCGCCCGCATCCTCTCCAGGCGGCGGCCAACTGGCGAGTGGCCCCAGCCTGCTCGTGACGTCACAAGCCGCGGGGGGAATCTCCTTATTGCGCAACGCCCGGGGGCGGGGCCTGAGTCAGCCGCGGGAAGCGCGGGCTCGGAGCCGCGGACGCTTCTCCCGCGTGGGCCGGCTCGGCAGTCTGGGCTTAGCTCCGCTCCCAGCGTGTACGCCTAGGCGCTCCGGGGGGCAGTGGCCGAGGCGCCGGCAAGACCCTCGAGAGGGCTCGGCTTTGCTAGGAGTCGGCAGGAGGGACGGGCAGTTCCGCGGGGGATCCGGGGCTACGGGCACCGCCTCTATTCCCGCCTGTTTTGGTTTTTTTTTCGTTTAGCGTGTGTGGGAGAAGCACGTGCGTGCGAAACGTGCATGTGTGTAACACACGTGTCTGCACACCGCCTCTATTCCCGCCTATTTTGGTTCTTTTTTTGTCTAGCGTGTCAGAAGCACGTGCATGTGCGTGAAACGCGCATGTGTGTAACACGTGTGTGTGCGCGTGTGCGGGCACACCACCTCTATTCCCACGTATTCCGATTCTTTTTTTGGTCGTGTGTGTGTGTGTGTGTGTGTGTGTGTGTGTGTGTGTGTGTGTGTGTGTGTGTTGGTACATGAATCTAGCCCATTAGTTCAGTATCATCATCAGTGACCTGGAAGATCATAGAAGTCTGGTCGGAAGGGACCTTGTAGATCTTCAAGTCTGACCCCCTGCCTGGGCAGGAGGGAAACTGGGCTCAAATGACCCCAGCCAGGTAGGCATCAAGCCTCTTCTTAAAGACCCCCAGGGTAGGAGCCAGCACCACGTCCCTTGGAAGTTGATTCCAGATCCTAGCTGCCCAAACTGTGAAGTAGTTCTTACGGATGTCTAATCTAAACCTACTCTCCAACAACTTGTGGCCGTTATTCCTTGTTATCC